TTAAAAACATTATTTATTTTTATTTTAGATCTTTTAATGTAGTTTTCAATTAGAGTTATTAAGAATAATTTTGTCTTTTTATTAAAATATTATGTTTTTCTTAATGTGGGGAGCACATCACAAAATCACTTTGGAATTAAATAAAAAAAGGAAGAATTATATTGAAGTCTTATATAAAATAATTAATTATTATAAAATCTATTAACAACTAAATTAAAATATATTGACAATACAGTAGTTCAGTTGTTAATAGACTTTATAACAATTAATTTTTTTATATGAGTCTTGACTGTAATTCTCTTTAAAAAGAAAGCACAGGAATGGCGCGCAAGACTTTTATGGGGAATTGGGCAAAAGTAATTGGAGAGGAGGAAAGCCTTCATCTTCTTTCCTTTAATTTATTGAGTGATGGCTCTTCATCTTGTCCTTTCTTTGGTCACTTTTAGTGATGGCTGCTTTCATTTTCACTCATTTTTGTTTGATTTTTAGTTTTATGAAGAGCTAATTTTTCATGCGATCAATTATAAATCATGAGTTTAAACTACAATTAGACTTTTATTTAGATTTATTTTAATTTTTTTATCTCTGAATTTTATACTTTAATTATCATTATTAATTAAAATAGCTTTATTACATAATTTTTTTAGATTATATATTTTATTTAAAGTTTTATTTGTTATAATCGATTGATATAATAATATAAAGATCATATGAGCTAAGAAAGATGTGAGTTGGGTTGGCTTCAACCCATTTTCATATGGGTTGGAAAAATCTCAACCCTACCTAACCTTTACCCATTTATTTATTTTTTAATTTATTTTTTATGAATTTAAAAATTACACTTAAATAATGAGTTTTAATTTAATATTCCTTCATGATGCATTCTAAATATACCAAAATATTAATTTATAATATTTGTCCAAAATAAATAAATTGATCCAACTAAGTGAATCATGTCTAACAATATAGTTTATATCCATAAAATTTTTTTTTTTTAATTTTTTTTAAAAATAACATGGGTCAAATGGGTTAACCCTAACCCATCAGGGTTAACCTATATGGCTCACAGTTATAGTCTAGGTTAGAAAAAAGTCATTTTTAATCTCGTTTAATTTTTTTAACCCAACCTGACCCCTATTTTCGGCTCTACACAAGAGCAATTTGGGCGGCCTTGAGTGATTACTCATTCTTTATTTTTGGTGTGGCTAACATAGAACAATTATTAAATTATGAGTTAAAGGAGATTTCATTTAATCTATAACTTAATTTTTTATTTAAACCTTAAATGATAATTTAGGAAATATATATTAAAACCAAAATAATAAATTTAAATAAATTTAATTTATTTTGTAGATGAGAAAGATTAAATTTAAGTAATTGAGTTGTAATTGATTGCGTTGCCTGTGTTTAATGATTTTCTCAATTAAACTTGCTTTATTTATTTCATTTTAATTTATTTTTTTAAATTAATTTCATTGTAAAAAAGCTCCACTGTTAGTTTTTTATAATTCTAATTTAAGTAATTAATTTATTAATTCTTAGAGAGATAATCTAAATTACACTTTACCATAAAATTTAGTTTTTATTAATTTTAATGCTATTTAATAGTAGTGTCAAAATTATAGGGGCTGGTGATTATGTTTTCTCAAACAAACTCCCAACAAATTGATTTTTAGCCAATAGAAAATCAGATGCGCACTCAATTAGATTTTGGGTTTGCAATTTGCAAAGGGTATACCAAACAAGAACTTAATTCGCATATATAATATATCCACTCAACTATCATTAGTGAGATATTTCCTCTTTTTTAATTAACTTTAAAGAATAGGCTAATTAGATCACATGTGAAACTCATTGGGATCAAATTTACCTGCCTTTAATTACTTTCTTAGTTCTTACCTGCTCGGCTTGATTGGCTGCTCCAATTATTGCTTTATAAATTAGGATGGGGTTAGTGCAAAAGAAGGTGTCTAATCCCTCACTACCGATCTATGAATTTTGGCCAAAAGAAATTAAAAAACCATTATATTTTAAAAAACGTTTATAAACTTGTGAATTCAGCATGCGGCCAAGTACGCACGAGGATGCGGCCAAATATAATAACTATTTCACAGTTTTAGAAAAAAAGTTAGGTAAAATTTTAATTTCTTAAAAATTGTATATCTTTAATTTTCAGTTATACATTCATTAAATATTTTGATATAAGTGTATTAATAATGATAATTGAGATTTCAATACATAATTTATTTAAAAAACTAATAAATAAAATAGGAATATAGTTGAAAAAATAATTTTAAAAACTACCAATTATTATGTGTTTTAGACTAATTAGGACTTTTAGAAAATATATTATACTATGGCTCGAGGGGAGTTCACTCCCTTCACCTTTTATATACACTCCTCAACATCTTTTCATGTAGATTAAGACAAATTATTAGGTTGTTTTATTTTTAAAAAATATTTTAACATTTCACTCACACCCATATTAATTAAAGAGAACCTTATCATGCCTTATTCAAGTTACAAAAAATATTAAAATTATAGAGAGTAAAAATGAAGTATCATCTGATAACCTAATTAAACATCTTATAATTTAGATTAACTTTTATTTTTGAAAAGTACCTTATAATATAAGGGATCAGAAAGAGCATAAGTATGCTATATGATTTTATTTTAAACATTTTAAAATTTTTTTAAAAAGTATATAACATTGTACATAATTTGATATCTAATATTTTTAAATTATAAAATTATTTTTTCTTAAAAGTTGCCCCCCAACTATTAAGTGTGTGTTTGGATAAAGAAAATAATCAATTTTTTATCTCAAAATTAATTTTTTCAATTAATTTATCCAAATAGTCAAAAAAAGTGAAAAATTGATTGTGAGGCAAGACACGTGTTTTTCCATGAACTTCCTCCATCAGCTTTTCTATCGAAAATTGATCAAAAGTGTTGAGAAAAATTATAAAAAAAAGCCCAAAAAAATTATAAAAAAGTACAATATTAAATAAAAAGAAAACTAAACTCTTTTCTCTTAACTTTTTTTAATAAAATTTAAATTTTGTATTCTTAAAAATTAATATTTAATATTTAAAAAAATTATATAGTAATTTATATAGATAAAATTAATTCTGATTAAATTTTTCGAACATTTTTAATTTTGTTAAAAATTAATTTTAAAAAAATAATATCCAAACAAATTACGTTATAACATAATCAATTATGATTAAAATTTACTACTTAATCAATTATTTTCATAATTTATTATACTCAACTGAAATTCGAACGAGCACTAATGTTAGTTCTACCACTCATTATGTCGATAGATGGATGACAACAAATTCCACTACTTCTTTCCATTATTGATCAAAATAAGATTTAGGATTCTCTTCAAATTGATGAGTAATATTATATGAATCTTAAAAGTTTTTAATTTGTGAATAATCTTATCTATGATTAATTTTAATTATTTGAACCTTAAATATATTGACTTAAGATATTTACCTTCATGTTTTGTTTAAAATGTCTTGTAAGATGTGGAGTAAGTTTTTTTTTAAGGGGTCGGTTTCATTTTTCATAATATAAAATATGTTTAAAAAACAAATCAACGTTATCCCAAAATACTCTTCATAATTTAATGGAGAGACGAACTCACGAAGTGTGATTCCCGTACACTTGTGGACAAAAGTGGATATATAATTGACCTTGTACATCAACAACAATAACAAATCTCATGTCATTAAGTGAGATTGATTATATAAATTATATTATACTATTATATTCTATTATTTATTAAGTTTTTATGAATATTTTTATTAAAAAGTCTCGCTCAATAATTTTTAAAAGTATTCTCTTCGATTTTCCTCTACCCTTCTTGACAGGGTTCAAAGTCACTTATTCTATTTTCCTCACATGTGCTTCCTGTGATCTTCTTTGTATATATCCGAATCACCTTAAATGATTTTCTATCATTTTTTTTTCAATAAGTGCTACACCCACTTTTTTTTGTATTCACTCATTTCAAATTTTGTCTGTAAGTGTATATCCACACATCCATTTCAACATTTTTATCTCTACTACTCTAACTTTATGCTCTTGTTGTCTTGTCAAACTCCAACATTCACTAACATATAAAATTTTTGGTCTTATAACAGTTCGATAAAACTTTCCTTTAAGCTTATCAGATACCTTACGATCGCAGATAATTCTTTTAGCATTTCTCCAATTGAACTACCCCATTTGTATCCTATGTGCAATATCTTCATTAATTTTTTATTTTATTGAATAATCACTCCCAAATATTTAAATTTTTTTCACTTGATGTATGGTCTAATTACTCGATTTCACTTTTAAGTTACTACTCACTGATCCTTTATCAAAATTATAATGTAAATATTCTATTTTACTCCTACTCAAGCAAAAACTTTTTGACTCCAATGTCTTTCTCCATAACTCAAATTTACAAATATATCAAAATAAAAATAAATGGACAGGAGTGACTATAATAGATCCACTTCAACGTAAAATAATATGTTAACATAAAATTACTATTTTAATAGCATAAATGATTAGAACTAAAGTTGATCACCGATCAGGCTGGAATAATCACCATGCGTTCCATGTCTTCGCAGAATCCTGGGTCACTTGCAGTACTCGTCATCACTCCTCCTGCTTCATAATTAAAATAAGGTGTCAACATAAAATCATTATTTTAATATAGCATTATCAGAACTGAAAATAATCACCATGAGTTCACATCAATATTTAAAAACTTAAATATTAATTCATATCACCCTACCTGCTTTCCATACAAGACACGATCAGATTTTAATCGCGCCATTCCTTAATCACGCAAAGTAAGGAGCAAAACTTAAATGTTCATATCAATATTTACAAATCGGAATGAAATAATTTAATTACAGTTTCAAGGCACCCACTTGCTCAACTCTATAAATCGACCCAAATAGGGTTAGCTTTCATATGCATATACCACCACCACCACCACCAGCACAATCAAGTAAATTTCCATCAGATCGCCCGTGGTAAAATCGAAAGCCATGGAATCCCAAAACAAAGAGCTTGGAGCAACAAGACTCCTCGATGCTCAGAACCATATATGGAAACACACATTCAGCTTCATAAACTCAATGTGTCTCAAGTTAGCCACAGAATTAAACATCCCAGAAACCATTCACAAGCATGGCAAGCCCATGCCTCTGCCTCTTCTCGTCTCTTCCCTGCAAATCCACCCCTCCAAATCTCCAAACGTTTATCGCATAATGCGACTCCTCACCTACTCTGGCTTCTTTTCCCTCCAGAAAGTTTCAGAAACTGATGATTCTTCAGAACAAGGCTATGTCCTAACTGATGCATCCACCCTACTTCTCAAGGACCATCCCTTAAGTACCACCCCTTTCTTCCTTGTTATGGTGGATCCCAACCTAAAAAGGCCTTGGTATGAGCTCACCAATTGGCTCCAAACTGATGATTATCCGTCGCCGTTTCACATGGCGTATGGGAAGAAGATTTGGGAGCATGCCAAGGTTGACCCTAATTTTAATCATTCTTTCAATGAAGCTATGGCCAGTGATACGAGACTGGTGATAAGTGTGGCGATTGACACCTGCAAAGAGGTGTTCATGGGAATAAAGTCCTTGGTGGATGTTGGGGGTGGCACTGGGGCTACAGCTAAGGCCGTTGCTGAAGCCTTTCACGACATAGAATGTATTGTGTTCGATCTCCCGCATGTTGTCAATGGCTTACAGGGTAGTGCGAATCTCAACTTTGTGGGAGGCAACATGTTCGAGGCGATTCCTCCATGTGATGCCATACTGATGAAGGTGATGATAATAATTTCACTAGCTACTTACATCATGACACCATTTACATGCATTCATTCATTGTTTTGAAGACTAAGTTTTCTGATAATATATAATTGCTTCTTCGGCTGTGAAACAGTGGATACTGCATGACTGGACGGATGAGGAGTGTGTGAAGATTTTGAAGAAGTGCAAGGAGGGAATTGGGAGCAGAGGGAGAGATGGGAAGTTGATAATAATAGATATGGTGTTGGAGGATGACGTGGTAGCCAAACGCAGTAAATCAGCTGAGAATCAGTTGTTGGTGGATGTGCTGTTGATGGTGCTGTATCCTGGAAAAGAGAGGACTGAGAAAGAGCTCGCCAACTTATTCCGTTCTGCTGGTTTTAGTGATTATAAGATTCATCCAGTTCTAGGTTCCAGATCCATCATCGAGGTTTATCCATGAAATATTAATTCTCTTGCATATGATTAGAACTAGCAGCATTAATTGCTTGTTATGAAGTGGAATAAGACTGTTGGACAGGAAAAGGAAGAAGAAAGGAAGTGGAAGAAGGTCCATAAGTATCGCTTTGTCATCTACATTATGTATTTATTAAAATAATGTTTGTGTTTAACGAGAGCTTTTAATAGCTTATCAAGATAAATCGATTTGGCTTTCATAATAATCTTAAAGGCGATTTTCTTTTTCTTTCTTTCTTTCTTTCTTTCTTTCTTTTTTCATCAAGAAGGGTAGCCGAAGCCGGAGGGAAATAATTGAAAAAGAAGAAGCAAACAGAAAGATCAGTGGGCGATTTTCTTTTTCCTTTTGCATTTATTGCACCTGGGATCGATTTACGTCTTTCTTTGTTTTGTTTGCAGGACAACAGATTTTTCCATCAATAATCAATAAATAATGTTCCATATAAAAAAAACATTAAAATTAATAATTAATATATAATAAAAATGATAGACTCATAAACTTAAACATTAAAATTTTAAATTAAGATATCTTTACACTGCTCTTTCCCTTGTTTTTGAGCAATTATTCTCATTTATTACCATTGATATCAAAGTCAGGTTTTGCCTAACACACTTTTGGTGCATTTTTAAATATCTTGTTCTCTTCACATTTTAATGATGAATGGCTTTATAATTCTCATATATTTTATTATATTTATAATTCTCTTGTCAATTAAATCTCATCTTTCTTTTCCATTTAAAAATTTTTAAACTACTTGAACGAAAAATTTAAATGCATAAATTTTAAATGTGAGACTTTGAATCTAAAATCAAAATCAAAATTCATTAATTCAAACACTATCCAAAAGTATATATTCTCACAATAACAGGATTTCATGAAAAATCATTTCTCGAGACTCATCAAAATCCTTTTGAAAAAAAAAATACTCCTGGAATTAAGTAAATGTCATCATATGCCAAATTATACTGACTTGAATAATCTCCATTTGCAATCTTCTCTCTATTTATATCTATATATTTTAATTTCTAATAGCTCTGAGGGACTTAAAAATAGATTATTACTCAATCATAAAAAAGGTCACAAAATAAGATTTCATCATTGGGAGTTTGGGATAAGGACAGAAAGGATTTTGATGAGTTGAAAATAACCACAATTGAATTTGAATGTATTTTCAAATTAGTGGCAAAATTATCTATCTCAAATTCCTTCGTCGTCATGGCAATGATATGGCGATAGATTTAATTCCACCTCTCACGCAGAAGTGTTTAGGATACTAAAGATTAGAGTGTTTCAACTCATCACAGGCAATTCATAATTATTGACTCCTTTGTCGTATATTCCCTCCGTTAAAAATATAAAGTATTTTTTTAGAAGTTGGATGTTTAAAAATGTAAGGTATTTTTAATCTTTCAAGGTGTAATTATTATTTTTTAAAAAAATGCCCCTATTAAGAATGATTTTATATTTATTGTAAGGTGTTTAATAGGGATAAATATAAAAATATAGGGTTAGTTAGAAAGTAGATAATTACTTTATTGAAGGTCGAGATTTGATTAAAAATATCTTACATTTTTTAACAGAAAAGTATAATCTATCAACATGTTTAATTTATTCTAATTATGGGTGATGAATATACTTTAGATCCTCCGTGACAAAATTAATTAAAGACCACAAAATCTATTGTCATTTTGTTATAATCAATTGTTAGTAAATTTTGTAATAATTAATTTGTTGCGAAGAACCTAAGTGTGACTCCCCCTTTACTTAATCAATCATCTTTCCTCATTTGCAGCCCTAAATCTGCTTATGCCTGCCCCTTGCAGTTTATTCGGTAACTTTTTTTTCAATCTCCCTCGTCATTCGTTCCCATCTAACAACACACGTTATTTTTTTTTAAAGAAAATAACAGTTAAGAACAAATTAATGACACAGTTAATTAGGTTTCTAATATTTTTTTAAAAAATAAGTTACAAATAGCGATTTAAATCTGACAAATAACATCAAAATTAATAAAAATTAAATTTTATAATAAAGCATAATCTAGGCCATCTTTCTAAGAGTCAATAGATTAATTACTTGAATTATGATTACAAAAAACTAAATAATAGATGATTTTCTTTATTTTTAAAAAACTAAATTAAAATTACATAATTAAAACAAGTTCAACTAAAAAAAATTACTAAGTACAAATAGCACAATCAATCACAACTCAATCATCTAAAATTAATCTTTCTCATCCACAAAATAAATTAAATTTATTTAATTTTATTATTCTAATTTTATTATATATTTTTTAAATTATCATTCAAGAATTAAATAAAAAATTAAGTTACAGAACAACTATTTTAAGTTAGTCACACTAAAAATAAAACATAAATAATTACCAAAGTCAAGTCAAATTACTGTTATGTTACTACATTTATAGATTATGGCAAGCAAAACTTTAATTATAATATACAACTCAAAAATTATACAATAAAATTACTCTAATTAATAATAATAATTAAAATATAAAATTTAAAAGGTAAAAATAATAAATTAAAATAAATTATTTTTTGAATATAAAAAATTTAGATTAAACTTTAGGATAATAATTTGTGGCGGATTACGTTAAAAAAATTAATTCTTCATCAGCACTGTATGAAAGGATGAGAAGCCGTCGCTCACGGAATGAAGAAAAGAAAACGACAAAGAGCTATCACGCCTCTGATCCTCTCCAAATTACTTTCGCTGCCGCCTCTACTTTTCAATCCAAAAAGTCATCAGCTCCCTGTTTCTATTCGTCCTTTTGATTAAAGGTCGTGTGTCGCTTTTCAATTCCCTTCCGTGTGTGGGCGGCTTAACAAATGTAAAAGCCTAATAATTTAATAAAAAATGACAAAAGTACTTTTAACAACCCCAACTGAAAACTGCATCAAAAAATTTAAAATGAATATAAACAAAATTTTCACAATTTAATTTTTGACTTGATTTTTAAATATGTCTATATTATTTATTTACAATAATTTTTATTAATATATTTTAATTTAAATCTAAAAATATGTATAAATAAAATAAAATAAAATAATAAATGTATAAAAATATTAAAAATATTATTTATATTTTAAAATTTAAGATTTAAGTAATTAAAATTTAAATATTAAATATTCGCTAATAAAATATTCAATTAAACTCAATTATTCTCAAATAAATAGTTAAAAATTTAAATTAAAAAAATAAAAATATTTAAAATTGTTATTTATTAAAATCATTTTAAATTTATGAATTCTAGTTGCAAATGACATGTTTAATTTTAAATGTAACTTCTCACTTTACAATTGAAATTTTTATTTATAAATTATAACTGTCTGAATTGATATTTATAACTCATTCTTTATGAAATTTTGTCAGGATTTAATTGTCCTTAATTTTTATCTTTCAATAGAGTTTAATATCATTTTCCTTTTATGTGTGCGCGCGCGCGCGTGTAAAGTTAATTTAACCATGTTGTATTTATTTTTGAGGGGGTATCATCAGTTTTACGACACTCTTGCGCTTGTCATTATTTTATTAATCTCCTTTATAATTATAAAGATCTAAGTCAGCCTAAGACAATTAAGAAGCGTCAACATAAATTTACTATTTTAAAACCATAATTAAAATTTAAATATTAAATATTTGCTAATAAAATATTCAATTAAACTCAATTATTCTCAAATAAATAGTTAAAAATTTAAATTAAAAAAATAAAAATATTTAAAATTGTTATTTATTAAAATCATTTTAAATTTATGAATTCTAGTTGCAAATGACATGTTTAATTTTAAATGTAACTTCTCACTTTGCAATTGAAATTTTTATTTATAAATTATAACTGTCTGAATTGATATTTATAACTCATTCTTTATGAAATTTTGTCAGGATTTAATTGTCCTTAATTTTTATCTTTCAATAGAGTTTAATATCATTTTCCTTTTATGTGTGCGCGCGCGCGCGTGTAAAGTTAATTTAACCATGTTGTATTTATTTTGAGGGGGTATCATCAGTTTTACGACACTCTTGCGCTTGTCATTATTTTATTAATCTCCTTTATAATTATAAAGATCTAAGTCAGCCTAAGATAATTAAGAAGCGTCAACATAAATTTACTATTTTAAAACCATAATTAATTGGAAGTAAATTAAGTTCGTCCCCAATAGGCCAATAGTCGTCTTCGAGTTCCATGTCTTCCAATAATTATTGGGCATCCTTAAATTAGCTTGTCTTTACTCATCCTGCTTCATTGTTTAGAACTTTATAATATCAAAGATCTAGGTAAAAAGCATTTGAGGTAAGGTGCTAACATAAAATAAAACTATTTTAATACTTTGGTTAAAGTATATTTTTAATTTTTTAATTTTATATAAAGTTTTAATTTAATTATTTAATTTTATAAAGTATCTTTTTAATCCTTTAATCCTAACATCGTTAGTTTTAAGTGATTTTTTCTGTATCAATTATTGTTATTTTAAAAAAAATTAAACTTAATATGTTAACATTTAATAATATTTTGTTAATATTTGAAAGTTTAATGTAAAAATTTATTAGAATAAAACTAATAATGTTAGGATTAAATGATTAAAACGACACTTTATAAAATTAAGGGACTAAAATAAAATACTATGTAAAGTTAAATGATTAAATGTATTCACTTTAGTCTAATATTTTTTCTGTTAGGCTTTGCAAGGCACTTTTCCATCCCTTTATAATATATTTTTTAGAATGATATGATATTTCACAATACAAGACATTTTGAGAAAATAAAAATTTATTAATAAAATTTATTTCAAATTATCACTCATTTAATATCTTTCTTCCCCTCTTCCTTATTAAATGAAATATAATTTTAAAAGTTTATATTTCATTTTGAAAAAAAAGTTCCAAGTATAAATAATAGATTTCATTGGTATTTTTAATTTAATTACAAAAAGTCTCATAAAATAAAATAGAGCAAAGAAGGTATTTTCTTGAATTGGTTTCATTTCTTTTTAGATATTTCTTTCATCCTGATTTATAAGACATTTTTAGAGGTGATTTAATGTCTCAATATTTTGATAAAAATAAGATTTCATTAATTATATATTTGTTTCAATGTTTCCCTTTCCTCTTTATTATATTTTTTCTTTTTACTTAACAATATTTCACACATAAATTACATTAAGTGAA